GCGTGAAGTCAAGGCTGGATAACCAGCTTGCAGCTGCCCATCGCGGAAACGCCAAATGTATCGAGACTTAAAGAAGAACAGCTCTCCCCTGATCATGGACACGGCATCAAAGTTTGTTCTGCAGGCATCTGGCTGGGACACAACATACACAGCATGGACAGTTTTTTTGTGGTTTGCAAAGTTGCAAATTATAAGACTCAGGAAATCTTGACATATAGTATATGTAGTTTTACTTACTATTCCAATTTCAATCTCATTGGTCTCAGGTATGTCAGGCGGCACGTACCGAGGTGGGCCATACAGGTACTGAATGCCCCTTTTGTCATCCTCACTTAGCTGCACAGGGTAGGAGTCACTGTAGAAAGGACACATCACAGCGTCAGGCTCCAGAGAGTGCTGCAGCCCTAGGACATGGCCAAACTCATGAGTTGCCACTTGTAGGAGATCAGTGCCTAAAAGAGACAAGAAAGAATTAAGCAGTAAAATTAGTAGCTGGATGCATTATTCTGGTAAACTGAATTGAGAAGCACAAAGTGCCCTGAATTCTAGTTAGTTGTATAACCATTTAAAACCAGGTTTTGGTCATTCTAAAACAAGACCTCCATTTACCTCAGACTAGTTCAAATGTACTCACCCACATTGTTGCCCACTGTCCAATTCTCATCATAGTCAAAGTGGACTTCCCCCTCTCTGTGTGTCTGGGGGAAATAGGCATGAGCGAGGATTCCTCCAGGACCATCAAATGGTAAGCTGTCCCCGTGCCAGTACCTACACAAGCACTTCTTTTATTGTACAGACATGAATAGGTAATATCAAACATCTGAAGCCATTTCTATATACTGTACCTTTGTATTTGAAAGCCAGGTGGTAGGATTTAAAAAAGAACAGAGCATATGCTAAATTTTCTCTGTCACATACAGTTTATTAGGTACACCTAACTAAAATGAATATTGTCTAATACACCAGTCCTGCAACAAATCCATACAAAGTCACAGCTCAGGACTGTGATTTCCTACGTGCTGAAGCAGAAGGCCAGCTTAATTTGTTGCTGCAAAATTATATAAGGTGACAAAGTCCAAATTATGCAGAAGAATGTAACCTGATTTTTTAACAGCGTAGCTGTCTGCCCCTCTCATGGCTGTCATACTTTAACCATGTACCATAGTAACTGACTTGAGGTAACAGTGCACTGTTTGACAAAGCTGCCTAAAGGCAACCGTTCCCTCTGATTATACAGTGTAATTATAAAACTCAGGCATCATGTCATTGGCTTGTCACAGCATCAGTGATCAAATAATCTTTGTTTTTTTTTAAGTGATGCTGGCAGTAAGGTTCTAGGAATGGCAGATGGTGCCTTTACCTAGTCTAACTGTGTGCGTTGCTCGCTGGCGACCATTTTGTTACCTGTTAAAGTCAATAATGATGTCGGCTTTTTCACTGGTGACCTCCCTGAACCTCAGAGGAGTCACAGCACTCCATACACCTAATGCCTCCTGGAAGACACGGCGCACTTCGTCCCCACTCATCTCTTGGGGTAAACGTACAATCCTATTGAACACAAACACACACACACATACACCAGTGTGCTGTATTAGAGAGTACTGAAAAATACATTTATATCCCATGACAAAATTCCAGCAGACAATGCAATGCTAATCTTTTATGACTCTCTATTGCCAGGATTTGGTCTCATAAATCCTTTGGGGGACAAAATCCATACTCAGTAATGTGTTCTTGAAAAAACCAGAGGTTCCAGTTTCTGCACTGCAGTCACTGAGGATCTACTCTTCACAGACCTCTTCAGCTACCTTAAACTGAAATAGCATTTAAAGTCAAAAGACAAATGTCTAATGCAGTCAACTTCTTATTGTTAATTTTATGACTAGGAGGGGGATAAAGGTTTTTTTTTACCTTGATCTTTCACTTAAGTTCTAGTAATTACATTTAACAGCTTGATAAATGCAGGGACAGTGGTATGAAACATCATGTGCCACCATGCGTGTTGTTGTGAAAGCAGAAGGTTTCAGTATGCTGCAGTATAACAGTAGGTGAAATCAATGAAATCAGTTTTCATTCCAGGCATGAAGGCCAAACCCATGCCGAAGCCCTAATAACTTAGTTCCACCAGCATGCATCACAATTCCTATCAGTGTTAATCTTGAAATGCTGGGTTAACACACACTATCTGGAGAATCATTTTGTAATATTCCGCTGTGTGGACAAGCTCAGACACGACCATGGGATGTATGATGAACCTCTGGCAAGCCTCACCGACAGCAGGTTGATGGTGAGCTTTCTGTGCTGCTGTGTAAGGAAATTGAGTCAAAAATTAAAATGAACAGACAGAGTTTGAACATACTGCTGTGGTATATACACTTAAATAACTGCCAGGTGTATAAAGTGATGCTCTTTGATCTGTAAATAATACCACTGTACTGCACTTACTGATTTCATAAGCTCTTCTTACACAATAAAACTGGAGTTTGGTTTGTGATATTTTACATTTGCCTTTGAATAACTGTTTTCAGCACAAAAGAGCTGTTGTGGCAGAAGCCACTGCACGTCTGAAAGGCCTACACCAATGATGTTTTTAGTCATACTAGGAACTGAAGAAGAACCTTAAGTTATAGACATAATGCTGAACGCATTCATGATTGTCTGTGGTGACAATATATACCTTGCTTGTTAGGTATGAAGTAGATTGCAGTTTATTTTTACGTCGGCTTCTTTTCTTGGTACTGGCAAAGAACAACAGCAGAGTTTCCAGTTATCCTCAAACTGTCTCCTTTCAGATACCCTCTCAAACATATACCGTACATGCACAGTTACACAGGAAAAGCCTGACAACTGATGCACAGTATTTTTCTCATCCTGTCAAAATGGCAAGAACCTAATGAAGCGGCAGTGCATGTTCACTGTTAACACAAGCAGACAAGTACACGTGCACCCACGCAAACAAAGAACTGCAGAATGAAGCAGCGCTGACCTCATTTGGATCTCTTGGTTTAGTCACACTGACCATCCTGGTAAACACATAAATAACAGTCTATAATAATAACTAAGCTATTTAAATTTTAAGTCCATGGTTGATTCCACAACTTATGGGATGGCTACAAATCTGCCTATTTTTCTGCTCTGACAATCTGAATCTACAAAGAATCCACACCACAAGTCTTCATGTGAAGCTAAAACATAAACACATTTTTCTGAGTAAGCACTGGCTCACCAGCTCCCCCCACTCCCATCCTGGTATCAGAGGTCCATACCAAACTAAAGTTATCCACTTTGTTTTGCTTCAACAAGTACTTTCTTAAAAATTGATTAGTTTTTCTGGGGGCCATAAAACCCTGGAACTAAATTACAAAGAGGCTGTGTATTGACTGTGACTGAACAAGACAAGACAGACTTCTAAAGGCTGAAGTCAACAGACCTCATCATTTATTTTAAAACATATATTTAAATTGAGGATTCCTATTGAAAACATAAATTAAAGACCATTCCACTGACTAAAAACCCCCAGTGACCCTGTTCAGGCATAGGTGGTTGTGGTCAATTGTTCTGTGGGCCAAAACTGTTCATCAAAATACAATCATTACTTTCTGAGTTATGCCGTTAACAAGCAAACTAATAAACATTGGAAAAAACATAACCCCCACCCTTGGCAAAGGTAAACATCATTACTCTTTAGTCTATTCAGACAATTGTGAGAAAGAAATTAGAAATTGTTTTCACTGATTGTTGAATATTTTCATTCATGATTAAAAGTATATAGATAAAAGCAGTAGTAACCTAGACAGCACTCAGAGAGTGGAACCTTTGCCATGGGGCAATACAGCTTCCCCATAATGCCAAAAAGCAATATTTCCAAGATAGTTTGACCCAAGAAAAACAAAAGACATGACAGTCAATCAGCACAGCCACACACTTTGGCCACAAGGGGGCTCACATACTGTATGGTCAGCAGCTTATCCAGCACTCAAAATGGTGACTAATATTTTAAAATATTCCTGCATCCAAATTATGACACAGATCAGCAACAAAACGTAATCAGTTGTCCTGTAGGCCATACCCTACCTCTCCAAAAACTTAAATCAAAATACACTGATTACTTTTTGACTTTTGGTGTTAGCCAACAAACAAAGCAAAAAAGATGGCAAAAACATAACCCCCCAACCTTGGTGGAGGTAGCAACTGCGTAGCTCAACAAACCAGTATACTTAGAAACAGCATGCTTATGTTTCTTACTGATAGGTGAGGTCAGTTCTTTCCCAACGTCCTCCAAACAACGCAAATCGCTTCCCGCGCTGACGTCTACGCAGGCCTCTCTTCTTCTTCACGTTGTAGTAGGACAGGTGAACCTGCGTTAAATTGGAATAGTCTGGGACTCCACAGCGAGGACGCTTCCAGAACTCTGTGTCATTTTTGGATACCATTGCAGATTTCAATTGGTACTCTTCATGTAGTATGTCCTCTTCATGTCGGCCTCTCTTCTTCAGGCCAACATGACTGTTTATGTGAGGCCACCCCTGCAAACACAGGCAAGGTTACTGACATCATCATAGAGACTTTGCAATAATAAGCATTACTAAATAAGATCTATATTCTGACTGAGAATTGCAATGTGAGTTTTTATGCAGACAATATCATACTGTATGCTGCTAGCTCTGCCTCAGACCAAGTCTTCTCCAGGCCACAGTCTGCTTCTGACAATCTCCAGAACTCTTTCATTTAAAAGCTGTTCAACAAGCTATGAGTATCAGTGCACCCCTAACCCAAAGTAATAGCTTTTGCTTTTGCCAGTAGATTTATTAGATTGTGTATTGACAGACATTAAATATTTTTACTCTAAGTCATTCTGTGTGTCTTGTCTTCATCTAATACCAGACCACCTACAATTTTAGTTTTGTGCTGCTGTAATAAAGCGCTTGTCCAAACAAACCTAGGATATATAAATACACGCTAGAAAAGTCCCACAACCACTAATCTGTCGGCTAAGACATATGCATCTGTGCCCTTTGTTCTGTGAAACAAACAGGATTATTTTTGATTTAACAGACAAAAGGTCACTTTAAGCTTAAAGTCATGTTAATTTCAGTTATGTGAGCAAATCCCCTCCACCCAATGCAGTGTAATTAAAGATTATAATTTATTAATTCTTCTTTTATGATTGAAAAATAAATAAAGCAAACACCGAGAAGAATTTCATGCTTAAACAACGCTTCAAGAGCACTGTAATGTAAAAGGATTATGGCTTGACATTTGTTCAAACTGAATCAAAAGCCACACTGGCCCTGACACAGCCTCAAAAACAACAAGTGTCTGGAATGAACTGTGCCACCTTCACCCTCCAGCTGTTAAATGATCAAATTTAAATGTCTTCAGAAGCTATTTAGATGAACTATTCACCATTTTTTGCACATTTTACTGTTTTGTATATTTAATCTTAAATGGATAAAAACACCATTTTTGACCATCATCATTCAACACTCAATATATATACTGTATATATGTGTGTGTGTGTGTGTGTGTGTGTGTGTACACTGTATGTGTGTGTGTATGTGTATAACATTTTAGTTTTTGATATGTTTTTTTGTGTGTTGTGTTGCATTATGGGAAGTGATGGGTCTGGCAGGGCTGAAGCCACAGGTTTAGCTGAACTGAAAGGCATCTTGATTTAAGGTGAGCATTGGTACAGAGAAGCAAGTTTTTGTGTTTAAAAATAACAAAGCAAAAACAGAAACAGAGTCTCCTGACATTGAAACAAAGCTTTGTACATGTTAGGGGAATCCTGGAGATGGCTCTAACATGGCACCACAGGGCACTGTGGTTGCTTTGTCTTGTTCAAACGGACGCGCCCAAACTTCAACCCTAGTAATGTGCTGGACATGTCTGCACAGGGGAGCATTAGAGTTCTAATAGATTGCATCTGTTACATTGGTTATTCTCTGTTGAAGTCACTCAGTCATGTAAATACAGTGTATACATACAGGCATGAACATGCACTGAAAAAAATGTGCACTATGCACAAACACATGAATCTATTCCTCAAACCCCCACAGAGCTCCAACACACACAGTGAGTGAGCAGCTGTCTAGAAAGTCCCTGCTCAGTCATGACATCAGGTCGTCTGCATCATAACATAGGGAATGTCTTGTGAAAGGTTTACAAGAATGCTGATCTGACAAACTGGGAACGACTGGCTTGATGACTTGTGGTAACAGTAATATAGTAATAAACATGGGAAAATCTGATTTGGCTCCCTAAACCACCACCCTACAAATATGATAAGATCCACTCTCACAGATGTCTTTTGGCAGATAAAAGGTAGTGCAAACTAAATTTAGCTAGGGTAAATATTTAACCACAGAATGCCCCAAATATCCACAGCCTCTCAACTGGAGGGAATGTTTGCAACATAAAGAGGATCAGTAATGAATACAGATGAGAGACTGAGCCTTAAAACACCTCTCATTAAAGTTTTTTCATTAACAAGCTCCATCACAGAATTGAACTATTCTACATAAAATATACTTTTGAAAACTAATGCTGAGTGTGCTGGAAGTTGAGATCTTATTCTTAAGTAAAAATACCAATACCTCAGCATTCAAAATTCTACTATATTATGTATTAAAATGTACTTAAAGCAAATGATCTTCTTTTGCAAAAAATAGCCTTTGTTAGTACTGATGCACTGATGTGTCAGCAGCATCGTAACCCAAACATACAATGTTTGGGTTGATCATAGATGACAGTGGCCTTGTCTGACAGTTAAATGGTAGTTTGTATCAATGTGGAAGTCTCAAAACACCAGTCTAAAATTGCTAATTTGGGCAAAAATAACATAGACTTAGCTTAGAGCCTTTGTACGATCTCCTCAGTGTGGCTGTTAGTTCATTAAACCCAGCAGGGCTGACTAATTATGTAATGTTTTAAATGACCAAACTCCATGATTTCTGTCATTATAATCAGAAGAAAAAACAGCATTTAAAAACAAATCTGAAACATAATACTGCCAAAGTCAGCCATGAATCATAGTAACAAGCTGTAGACACATTGCTTTAGTGGGGCCTTTAGTGAATTTAATGGAGACTTATGAAAGTAAAATTAACTTCATGCATCAGAAGGTTCTGGCTTTTACCTTTCTCAAAGTTGAAGTTGGAGCAGCTGATAAAACTGGACTGCACTGCTTTTAAAAGTTTAGGCTTTGTAGATAACATCCATCCATTATCTATACTGCTTAGTCCTGAAGGGGGGGGTGACAATGCTAACCACTGCCCACCATACCACCCTGTTGTTTTAATGGAATTTGATGACTGTATTTTCAACATGTAGTTAACTATTTCTGTATGATTGCTGGACAGATTTCCTTTCACCTTTCAAGTCCTTTCATCAATGGTGTCCATTGATGGTTCATCAACGTCCATCTACAACCTAAATTTACATGTACATACAGTGAAAATTTAAAAACTGAGTTCATCTGTCCTCTAGCCAGACAGGCAACATCTCAGCAGAGTGCACTATGTTTTCATGAATGAACTGAAGAACTCACCTCAGACAATGTGCCTTCTGTGTGACCTAATTTATGAACTGCACCTAGAGTACACGACATGCACTGAAAACATTGTAACTTTATCCAACAGGCAAGGGTGCCAGTAGAGATTTTGGGCCCCATGAGAGGACATCTAACTAATGTTGTATACAGGTGTTTATAATGCTGTATACAGATGGAACTGATGGAACTGTGCCTTGCCAATCTGTATCTGGCAAGTAAAGACAACAACAGAAACACATCTGGCTATTTCTTCTAACATGCGGCAGAACTAACATGTCCTGCGGCAGAACTTGATGTGTCCTCTGTCCCTGACCAACTGCTTGTTTGTCGCAGATAATAAAATGACATATAATGAAGACGCCTCAAGCCGCAAACAAAAATGTTCATGCCTTTTCACTGTTGGATGTCATCACCAAGCCACAGTCACATCTCACCTGAGATCCTATGGCTCCACCTGAGTCTCTTGCTCTTTCTGCTCTACTACAACCCCAAATCAGAAAAAGTTGGGATGGTATGTAAAATCAAAATTAAAACTGAAAACAGTGATGTGTAAATCATCTGTGTCCTGTGTTGCATCGAAACCAATACAGCAGCACATGATTTGATGAGACACCTCATCAATTTGATTCTTGGTTCACAATAAACACATTTCAGTTCTGATGTCTGCAACACATTCCAAACAAAGTTGGGTCAGTAAATCATTTGCCACGGTGTGATGTTGCCGTTCCTTTTCACAACACTTAAAAGACGTTTAGGGACTGAGGACACCGAGTGATTAAATGTGTCAGGTGTCATTTTGTCCCATTCTTCCACATTTACTGTTATAAATGCATGTTAAGAGGATTCATTTGTCATTAATAAGTCTAGTTTATCTATTACAACTGAGTACTTAAATATCAAGGATGGTATAATGAATAGCAATGCTTGACACTGCTTCACTGTGGTCCTGCTTGGCAGGGATGGTTGTTTTCTGCAGACACTCAGTATGGTGTACAAACAAAGCCTCAGTGGGGTTGTTCAGGTGCTGAGTGTCTGTTTCCTTGTGTGTGCACCTCTCTCTCTCTCTTAAGTAGCAATCTGCTGTTTTCTCTTTTTCTCCTGAGTCAGCAAACAAGCTCAATTTTTGAACCTCCACACGCTGACTTGCCTTTGCCTGCATAATCTGACTCTCTCATTCATGCTGCTGACAGCTTTACTGGCAAGTAGGTTGGGCATTCATCAAGCTGCAGATAGTCTGAAACAAATGTCATCCTATTTGAACATACAGTATAATGACATGCACAATGCTTTACTGATTTTTGATTTTTTTAAACTTGAACTCTTTTAAATCTCTAAAACTGTTTTTCCAGTTACAAAACACAGTACAAGCATATTCATCCACAAACAATTTGAAAATGTACTACAACAACAAGACCCCCACTAGACTCTCCATAATGATTTCAGTTCTCAGATAATATGTTTGCAAACATGACCTGGTGGTAAGTCAACCATCATAAGCTTTAGGTGAGTAAATGTAGCTTGAGTATCATGTCAAGAACGTGTTAAAGAACAAAAGCTTCTCTTTGAAGTACAAGTTGAATGTAATCGTTTACAAAACTAACGTTGCTTTTAAATACAACAAATTATTTGAGCAGTTTCATCGTTTTTAACTGATTGTTTTATAGTATGGGTTTTCTAAGAAATGTTATAGTGCTGATTGTAGCTATTAGCTTATCTGAGTGGAAATACACCAAATAAATTCATTCACATGCAGCTGCAACACATGACCTTTGTCTCTAAGTCTATCTCTCTGTTTCTGTCATACACACACAACATCCTCCATTATCCCTAACAGATCAACAGTGTGTCATTCCTGACACAAACCCACCTTTTCCCATTCAAGAAGTTCCCTTTCCAATTTTTAATAAGAGCTTGCAAGTCTGCGTTTGACCCACCTGTAGCTGCTTGGACTTGCTGATGGCCCTCCGGTCATGTATAGGCAGGGAATGAATGCAGAGAAAAAGATGCAAAGGCAAGATGCTGCCGCAAAACATTAGCGCCCACATTATGTTGTGACACACACATACAGGCTGATACAGTACCAGTTAATGCAGGACAGGCACAGGAAGAGGCTTAATGAATGCCGCTGCTGAGGAGGACCTTGTGTGGGAATGGATGATGGCAGGGGGATCTCCTTTTTAAACTACTTTTATAAGCTGCGGTGCTTAGCTACACCACAGACGTAATTTAACCCCTCTCACTCCAAAGGTACAGTGACTAAGAGTGCTGCCTGTCCTCCAGAGTAGATCACACAGAAACAGCCTGAAGTGCAGAGATGAATGGCATAAACAGAGGCTCTGTTTAATTACTTTACAGAGCAACTTAGTGTTACTGGCAAATTATGGCTCTGCTTTTAAAACATGTTTGCTAACATGAACCACAGTTGCCAGAATCAAATAAATGGAGCATTAGTCACTATGATTACTGTAAATATAAAACTATACGTTATGAACAAATTGACTTCTCAATGAGATTATGTAGAATATTAATATATTCTTGATATGATTATTAAATCTTAAAAGCTGCCATTTGCTATAATAACATCTGTTGGCTGCTGATAGAAAAGAGGTTGATGAGAGCAGTGAATGAACCACACAGTATCAACAAGTCACTCTGACCCATATGGTCGTTTGACCCTTCACTCTTATACACCACCATTAGGTACGGCAAGCCATTGAGCTGAGTGGGCTTGCATGTTAACGTGCATGCATTTTGCATTGTATTTATTTCCTACTTTATTCATTTTTCCCCAACAATATACTAGGTGTGAGAGTGAAGGGTGGTAGGGTTTGTTATTGTTATTATTGTTGGTGAATTGTGTTACTATCATTTGTTCTTAGGGGACAGATAAATGTCCAACTTTGTGTCTGATTGTTTTAAAATAAAAAATTTGAAGAGAAGCATTCAAATCAGTCAGGCTTTCATCTTAGTAATGAACTACATTTGTCTTACTAGGAGTCACATGCTGAATTTAGGTTGCCAGTTACATTTTACCTACCTGCTTTACCTGGGTTTAACCCAAACACAGTCTATGGTTTAACCATAAAGATGATATGTCTTGCAGCAGGATTTCAATTGGTATGGCTAAAGTGAACCCCCTTTATTTTATTGAACCACATTTACTGTCTTCATCTTTTATGTCATTATGAGCTCTGTTTTATCTGGAATTTATTTGCTTCTTGAACACAGAACCATCTGCTGATCAAACTATTCCTGTAACAAACACCAGCTCTGTGTTTCAGCTCTACAGATTAACCACATTTTCTGTCTCCTAGGTTCGCTCTTGCGATATGTAAAACAACTTGCTCATCTGTCTTTATCATGTGCGTGTTTCTCTGTGTCTAGCAATATGCTTACAGGCATAGGAAAATTAGAGGAGCTCTGGCATGAAATTGGCAGGAAACAGAAAATGAATGTCTGAGTTTGGAAACTTCTCAGACAGAGTGAGAACACTGTCTAATAACTGGGTGGTGTTGGACCTTGATGACAGGTTCATTTGGCATCAGCAAGCAAGTTTACACACACAGTTCATGCTGGACACTTATTTGCAAACTGGAACCGCTATGCAGAGAGTCATGTGTTGAATACTGAATACAAATAACTGAACTTATACTTGGGTCAGGACCATTTAAAGGCAACACACACTGGGGTTGTTCTGTCACATCATGTGACACACATCACATGATCCTAGGAGTACATCCCATTTCCCTTATTTTGTCTTTCCTTGCTCCTCAGCCCCAACTGGACCTGGATGTCTTTTGTGTCCATTATC